GCCAAGACCACGGTCTTAGAGTGAAGACTATTGTCTTTAAGTGCTTAAGCAACTTAGAGTTAAGGGTCAACTTGTCTAAATCAATATAAGAGTATCTAGATCATATAAGGATATGGTCTAGTAATGATCTTATAAACTGCATAATTGTGTATATGTTCAAGATAAGAATGGTCATGAGACCTACTATAGTGTTCAATGCTTAAAGACCATGTTACTTCCATTATAGCACTACAATATTAGAATGACAACCCTACATATGCTATTGCAGGGTACAGTAGTGATCAATAGAAGTCTAGTGGCCCTTAACTTCATAACAGGTAACACTACTAGCCTTGAAACTGCATTGTTGCAGTACTGAGTAGTGACAATTCTTTCCAAGTCCAACCAAATGCACCATATATTTATGGTGCACGTATCTATCTACAAGTCAATATGGTGCAGTGGTCTAAATGGTGGTTGAATATGGCAGTGCTAGAGGTTGCTGGTTCAATCTTAGCTGGTGTCTTTTTTTTTCCTTCACATATCCGCTAATCATTGTATTGCTGTACATCACCATGCTAGAGACTAACTATGTCTGATATGATCCAACTTAAAACTGAGCTATAGTCTTTTATAGCATGAGCTTCTAGCATGTACTTGGCTCTGGTCTTGATTCTGGTCTTGGAATGGTCTTAGTGGTCTTGGTCAAGACCAATGGTCTTGGCCAAGACCACCCACCCGGCTTGGCCAAGACCAACGGTCTTGACCAAGTCCATTGGTCTTGATGTACTTGGAGTACTTGGTGGTCTTGGAGTACTTGGCCAAGTACCCCAAGACCACATTCAAGACCATGACATTTTGCTGATGCAGAAAACCAACCCCAGCCATATAATTGTGGCCTGAAGTTACACACTCCTATGAGACTCCAAATAACGTGAGTATACATGTTGTACCCGGTATGCATGCTCCTGGATTCACCTCGCACGTATGTAGGCGTGAGAGAGAACGACAGCAACGATTGACGTTTACTAACGCATCTATGTCCAGTCATGCTTTTGGCCCGTGGAAGTACCATCATAGAGGAATGCATCGTTTTCATCATAACTTTGCGCTATGCACACCCAACCCTAAGGGTCCTTCGTGACGTCGAGATAGGACCTTCTCTGACCTCTGTTATGTTCTACACTGGTGCGTATGTCTTCCGTTGGGAAGACAGAATAGGCTAACGCTAGTCTGCGGATGAAATCGATGCTCAGAAAGTCTTTATTTCTTGTGAGTGGTCGTATGGTTCCAGCCATTCATGTGTCCGACTTTGTGCCCACCGCTGTTCAGGGTGATTGCATCATTCAACACCATCGACTTTGGCTTTGAAAGCATTGAGGTACCTCTCGCCACTGTTTCGTTGCTTATATAGATTTCTCACCAGCGGTCCCATGAACAGCGCAAAGAGTTTGGATCCACCACAACACCTGCGGGCATGTTTGCAGACGCGTACGTTCCGCTTCGCCTGCTAGCAGATGTGAATATGCTGCTGACCTGCACGCACGCACACCGCGAACACAAAAATAGGCTCACTTCAATCCTCCTTTCACGCTTCATCCTCAGTCTGCGCCAAGTCGACTACGATTCCGCTCGCCAGTCGGATGCATCTGCGTCCCTTGCAATCCACTTTGCCACACAAGTCCAGTCTGGCAATTGCTCGCTCCCACGCTCTTTCGCGTCCTTAGCAGAGCCGGTCCATCTTGACACCCCTGACCCGGACATGGAATGGGCGCCCACGGAGGATAAGGAACCATCCCGGCTTGAAGAGGCAAAGGTAGAGGTGGGGCTCGAGAGCATGAATGACACCCACTGCGCCTCTTGCTGGGAGAGCAATTCACCATGTCTTGCAACGTGTAGACCTTTAAATGTCCAGCGCAAGTAGGGCGGCAACGTTTACGGTGTCATCGGCTCGTAGAATATGAATGCACACATCTTTCGCAATATGCTACAGCACTGAGTTGAACGGGTCTTGTGCTATTCCATCCCTTGACAAAGCGATATCGACCGCTTCACACCCGTCACCGCGACTTCAAACGATGCCTCTCCAACGACGCGGATATCGCAGGTCGACCCAGGTCCCATTCTGACGCCCATCAGCTCTGGTTCTACAGACAGGATCAAAAACATGGGCGGCACACCCGCGAAGCTCGGGGCAAGTTCGAGAGGAACGGTAACAGACAAAAGCGAGAGAACGTGAACTTGTACGGTAAGGGAGCGAGCGGCCGAGGTCACGATACCCTTATTTGAGACAAAGACAAGGGTGAGAAGGACAAAGGTGAGAATAGGAGGTGACAGTTACTAGAGGAGTCGACAGGGATTGCAGTCGAGGACTCGGACAGGTCTGCAGAGCCTTTATATACTGCAACGCCGACCAATGAGACTCCGTGCCGGGCCGGCGTCGCCAAGCGCACAGACCACATCCGGATCCACACTCGCGCTGCCGCCAGCGCTGGCCCGGGTCGCTGTTCATGTTCATCTCCATTACGTTTGCAGCGCAACAATAGTCGGACAGCTACCATGTCATCGGCCGCTCCCACATTCTCGTGAACGCTCAGAGCCGACCGGAATCCAGAAGAAGTTGCAGACATGCGACTCTGGGGTGTCAGTAGACCGCCTTCAGGACTATAAGTAACGAGTCGGGCACAGAGATTGAGAGCACCGTAGTGGCGTCGAGCCGTGAGAGGGGCGAGTCAAAATGATGAGCTTGGTGAGTGTGTGCGCGGAATGTCTGTCTCGTCAATTGCTTATACAATGGATATGGATTTGACGCATCGACCAGGCTGTCATTCGTGGACAAAAGACGGTAGCTCATGAGGTCAATGTCTCACTTCGCTCCCAGGTATGAATCCCATCAGGCTATTTCAAAGTCGAATACTATGAGAGCTACTCCTCCGACAAGACTGACGCTTGGCACAGGCGGATGGTGATCGGGGACTCAAGCAATTGTCACTATTGCCTCTTGTCTCCAGTTTGTCACTCGCTGTCACCTGCCAAATACCTCATTCTATTGTGAGAGACGCATCCTTCACCAGTTAAATACCCGTCCTGTCTCCCTAACAGAACGACACCCATTTACGCCACTCATTCTACATGTCTCCAAACCCAGCTTTATGCAACACCGTCGCCAATTCGGTGGAGCGTACCTGGCCCAGACGCCAGGGGCGCTCCTTGACAATGTATATCAATTCCGACCACTGCCTGCTGGGCTTCTTCAAGGTCGCGCACGAATTCACAACTCGCCTCCCTCTGTGCAATATCCCTACGACGACTCAAGACCTTTATGACTCTAGATGGGTCAAAGTAGGTCTGGTGAACGTCCGGAATGAATTCGAGACTTGCTGCATGCCCTACCTCCCTACGTGGTATGAAGGACAATTCGGGCCCCATCTCTTTGGAGATATGTATGTCGATCCGAAAGTTGGAGTGGAGCCGCATATTTGTATGAGCCTACAAGAGTAAGCCTTTTCGATCCTTCGTCCCGCTCTCTAGATTGAGACTAACGTAACAACGTGACCCGCATCCTCGCATGTATCAGCACACACGACCCGCACAGTCGAATGTTCCCAGTGAACGTCATGCTCGACTTCCTAGGCTTCTTCCGTCACTACTTGTCCAAACACGCTTGTCTAACAGACCGGGAAGTCAGAGGCCCGCCCCTCGTGCTCATTTACAAGGTCAGCCCTCGGGTAAGCCACGCCACCACCTTCCGCCTCGCACACCTGACACCGACCTTGCTGCTTTCGGCCCCACAAGATACACGATGGTGCAGGTAGTTACGTCCTCGTCCAATACGTTGAGGCTAAGTTTCGGCCGCAAGCACCCGGCTTTATCGCATCTGCAACCAAGCTCCTTACCGACTACCTGTTCAACGCGCCGGAAGACACAAAGATGCTATCAATAGGCGTGCGCATGCTCGCTCATCCTTCTACTATATTCCCCTCCACCTGAGCCCACAATTGTGCAGGACTTGCCGGTACGCGATGATGCCGTCGAGTACCTCCTAGACTTCATGTTAGGCCAGCAGCCTGGTGCTTGCGTCGCTGTGGCATCGTCGGAACAATTCTACGGGTTATTTGTAAGCGCTGTCAATGGGTTTGACTTCGAGCGTGAATACTGAAGCTCATCGTCGACTGCAGGATCCGGATCACGACGAGGTGCCTCCTTGCGAGGCCGGCGAGGTCCTGAGCGCCCTAGAGAGACTTCAACGTGAAGGTAAAATCAATGTCACAACGCAAGACATCGAGATAGACGGACAACGGATGCAAGGTCTGCGCTGCGACACCTCCTCGCCGTCGAAAGACCTTGGCTGACTTTTTCCGTGGGCACAGCCGCTGTTCTCGGATTAGTCGAGTATCCCGGAAAAGAATGAAGTTATGAGGGTTCCGGTTTTGCAATGTATGCCTTCGACATGTCTCTATTTCCAGCATGAGCGCTCGCAGCACGCTTCGACGTTCAGCTTAGCTTCCTTCGGCGAACCAGTGCGCGCTGATGACCTCCATCGGGAGGAGTGGGAGTACGAGTTAGAGCCCCAAGACGCTGCAGATAGATGAGCCATTAGTTGTCGAAGAGAGCAGATATCACATTCACGACCTCGCAAAAGGACAGGGAATTCTGTAGATCGTATCTTTAGGAGTCGTAGAAGACCCGATCGCAACCCGAACGATACTGGCTAAGATCGGTTTTGCGTACCATAAGGAGCGTGCAGAGAGGAGCACGCGCTCGTACAGGCCGATTGCAGGATGGGAATCGTCGGCCGTCATCTAGGAGCTCAGGACTAGTATCAAATAGCTAAGACGCCGGTCTGAGTCAACAGACCGAGGACGTCTTTCAGCGCGAACCGAGACCAATCAGGCTTGCGCCGTAGGATTTTGATATGCCGCTCTATTAAGTAAACTTGGCAGGACTCGCCTCGACGAGCATCATTGCAAGGTAGATGTACAACATTGTTCCGAATGCATCGCACACGCACAGCATGTCTGCGGCTCCACCGCCTACTGCACCGTCAAAGTCGTATTCAAGAACGTCTGGTCACTGGTCCCGACTTTGATCGCGAAAGTCCCGGACTCGACGACCCAGCTGTTTCTCAGCGACCACAAAGCGAGTTGGGATGAGTTCACGTTGATCGTTACTGTCTTCGACTCTCCGGAGCTGTCGTGATGAAATGCGTGTGAATATAAGAGTTCAATAGCACAAGCGAGGGCAGCGGACGTACGCAAGGTCCACCTTCTGGAATCCTACTAGCTCTTGATTTGGTGTCACGACGGAGGAGACGACGTCCGTCGCGTACACCTATGCCATTCAGAGGATTACGTCCATTGAGCAGGCAGCCGCATGCTAGTCGACAGAATTGGAAGAAATAACGCACCTGAACGACCTCCTTTCCATCCCTATCGCCGGTGTTGTGCACCGTCACTGATACGCTGAAATCCTCATTCGTGCCTATCGTCGACTTGGATAGCGTCAGATCCGTGCTAGACGAGTGTCGTGAGCTCCAAAGCCATTTGCCACAATGTGGTGCTAGCGACTGCATCGCTCGGGTGCGGTCAGGGAGCACGACTTACTAGTTGAATGTTGTGTAACTTAGACCATGCCCGAAACTCCAAATTGGGGTCGGGGTATCGAGGACATACTGCGTGAGATGGCATGAGCTCCATATAGGGATACAGTCTGGAGGGCTGTACGTGCCTGGTGGCCGAAGATCAAGGTTCCGTCGTCGAGCACCTCGCCGGGGTCAATGAATCGACCTCCTTTTAGGTAATTGTAAAACACTGGAGTTGTACCGACGCTTCTGGGGAACGATACTGGCAGCTTCCCTGTGAGGTAGCATGCAGAGTAGCAACCGTGGCGCAGCACGAGACCAAGACGATCAATGATGATATACGGAAGCGAATAATGTTGAGTGCTGGCACGGTTGGATAGGAAGATGCATACGCACCTGAGGGATTTACGTCTCCGAAGATAACTTCGGCAAGGGCAAGTCCGCCGAGCTCACCCGGATAGAACTGCTGCACGACCGCATCCGCGTCTGTCAACGTCCACCGCCGTCGTTCGTCAGCATCAGTCTGCGCGTCGGATTCCCAACGACAATTGAGCCACAATTCGGGTCACGACCCATAATACCGACCAACGTGACGACTGGACGGGAGACAAGTGGAATCTAGCACTCACGCGCTTGGATCCACGGCTCCGCAACCGGCTTCCCGCTGACCAGAACCACAATCGTCGGCTTCCCCGCGTCCTTGATGGCCTGAACGAGCTGCATCTGCGCCCCGACGAGCCCGAGGTCCGATAAGTCGACGTGTTCCCCAGTCGTCGCGTTCGTGCCTGGGGTCCAAAGAAGGGTTTGATCGAGCGTCCAGGTGCCAACCATAACGATCGCGGCGTCGGCGGACTTCGCGGCTTCGACCGCGGTGGGGATGCCCGAGGGGTCGTTGGACCAGAGCTCGCAGCCTTGAGCGTACTTGATCTGCACGGAGGTGTTGGAGAGGAGTTGGGTGAAGCCGGCGAGGGGGGAGATGCCGTTCAGGGAGGCGTTGAAGAAGACATAGTCGCCGAACTGCGCGGCATAGAGTGAGGTCAGTCTGAGCCAGTTCACCCAAGTGAAGGGAGTTCAACTCACGGAAACACGATCGACTTGAGGGCCAATGAGAGCAACTGAGTTGATTGACTTGCTGAGCGGAAGCGTGTTGTTGCGGTTTTCGAGCAAGATGATGGTCTCTTGCTCCATGCTATGAAGAAGCTCCCGCGTCTCGGGCGTGCGGAGGGTACTGAGGTAGTCTTCGTACGGGTACGGGTCTGACGGCGGTATGAATCAAATGACTGGCTACAAAGAGGTGAATGGACAGACTCACTCTCAAAGAGACCCAGAGCGAACTTGGTTCGGAGCATTGCCTTGACAGTCTCGTCCACGTAAGAGATGTCCACGGTGCCCGCCTGGACTTGGTCCGGAAGCGTCAGATAGGTGTACGTCCCGCCGCCCATCTCCCCTTGAAGCCCATTCTCAAGCGCAATCTTCGCAGCGCATTCGCGGGTGTCACAGAGACCATGCTGGTTGATGAGCAGATCGACAGAGCCGGCGTCGGCCGTCACCCAGTATGGGTAGCCCCACTCGGTACGGAGCTATAGCGAGTTTAATTGAGTTACCGGACATAGTGAGAGGTGAGGAATCTCACGATATCAGTAAGGAGGTCTGGTGAAGGACTGTTGATCAGCGTGTCTCGAAGAGATATCATTCTACTCACGAGTGTTTGCGATAGCCGGGATACCATCGTAGCTCGAATATGCAGTCATGATCGAAAACGCCTCGACGCATGCTCTGTTGAACGGTTTTAGGTAATTCGTTCGGAGCTCGCGTTCTCCACCAGTGACTTGTGCGGTATTCCTGCACGGAAGATGAGTACGGTAATATAGAAAAGGCTCTCGGGGAGAACTCACAATCCTCCCTGAGGACTGCCGAACGCGGCAAAGTGCTTGCATGTCGCAGCCATGCGGCCGATCGCGGTCGAGCTGACGTTGCGTCTTCTCCCGGACTGCAGGCCAGTGACGTATGCGTGGCCCATCTCTCCCGTCCTATAAAACGCAATGTCATGCGTGAGTCGTGTCCGCAGTGTCGATGGAGCACTAGTCATACAAGAAAGGATCCTCCCCAAAGTTCTCTTCCACCCTTCCCCACCTTAACTCCCTGCTCAGATCCAGCACCGGCGCGAATATTTGCGAGAACCCCAGCCCCTCCGCCTCGTCCGCGATCGTCTTCGCCGCCTCTTGCAGCAGCGCCGGGTTGAACGACGCCGCCAGGCCGATTGGAGAAGGCCAGATGGTGCCGTTGTTCGTAAAGCCATGCAGGCCCTCGGACTGGATGATGGCGGGAATGCCGAGTGTGGTGTTCTCCATGAGATACTTTTGGCCGACGGTGACGCCAAAGACGAATTTGTCCCAAGGCGTAAGGTAGCCGCCCCAGATCGAGCCGGCTTTGGTGGCCATCATGGCTCTCTGCAGAGGATGGATAAGCATGAAGTAATCTAGGGGAATGCTCCGAAACGCGTACTAGGCCGGTCTGGTTGAATGTCAGCGTGTCGTCGAGAGGGTCGTTGAAATCCATCCAGCCGTTCATGTCACCCTGGATGCTGAGAGACCTGTCGTGAGACAGTGTAAATTCAAAGAGTATGTTGACTCACATCTGCGCGACCTTCTCTTGTATGGTCATCCTCGGAAGGAGGTCGTTTACCCGGTCTTCTATCGACGCCTTCGAGTTCTTATACACAGGAGTCGAGCCATCCTTGTTTGTCGCGCGTGCGTGTAGTGGGAAGTGCAGGTCATCGCGGACGTCGAACCGGCTTCGCGCTGTATCTGCCGCCACAACCGAGAATAGTGGCAGGAGGGCCAAGGCGAGTACGCGCATGATGTCGGCGCGCGTTGTGCGTCTCGGTCGACAGATGTACAGCGCGTCGAATGCTCGTAAGCGAATCCTTATGTATGTACCAGAGCATCATCCGGCTACGTTTGTTGTAAGGTACCCCGGGGTCAGTTGACGGACGACGGAGAATCGAAAGCGGCCCTAAGAGCGGGCCGCCTTCGCACATTATGATGGGTACAGGACGGTCGTAAGGCTGAAGCTGGTGTGGTTGAGCCTATCTGCCGACATTGCGCCGGGAGGCATGCTGGTCGACTGATGGTGCGGGTCTGTCATACTTCTTTGGAGAACACCGGGGTATCTGCACGGAGAGGTCAGATGGGTTGGCGCACTGAAGAAGTCTGTCATACTCATGCACTGTGGATTGCCGTGGAATGCATGTTAGAATACCAGAGCAGACAGAGGGTGGGCATGGATGATTCAGGTGGACCACGGTTGTGATGGCAGCTGACCATGGCTCGGATTCGCGAAGGTGAGTCGGCGCGTCTGATTGAGAGGTGACGTTACGTTACTTTCCTTGGTAAAGGGCAGATTTGGATCAGGCTCTCTCGCTTGCAGGGCTCCTTCGTCTTGTCGTTCTCAACAGCGTCCGAGGGGGTGATATGTAGTCGATCGTTGCGATTGTTGGACTGCGTAGGGCAAGAAGTCGATTGAGGAATTGACACGTGGGGAGTCGGAGTCGATGGGCGCTTCTGGATTTGGCCGGTGAGTACGTGAACGGGCAGTCAAGTGATCTCAAGCGGGTCTCTTCGCTGTTCTCGACGTCGACCACCTTGTTCATCTCATCCAGGGCGTATATACACCGCCGGGTGTACGCGTAGAGCCACTCGTAGAGGGGACACTGGACTCGAAATCGGAGCAATGGGTCGTCTGCTCGCTCTGACTTTTCTGGCTGTCGCAGCTAGCGCCCGGCTTCACTCGCGCGACGCGCCTGACGCGTTCTCCAAGCCAGCAAGCAAGGCTCTGGACTATGTCGACCCGTACGTTCTCTCTGCTGTCTTCACCTGCCCTCCGCATCGCCCACTGTCTGAGGCTCTGATCCTACACTCTATGACGCAGCTTCATTGGCAACGGCGGTGACTCTCCCAATGGTTCCGGCGGGATGATTCCTTCGACTGCTCCGCCCTTCGCCATGACACGCTGGGTCGCACAAACGCGCCAGAACTACGTCTCTGTCACTCCCTACAACTACACCGACTCCTCTATTCATGGCTTCCAAGGCACCCACCAGCCTGCCATTTGGATGGGTGAGAGCGGCCAAGTCGTCGTTGCACCCGGGGCCGGGACCGTGCAGCCGGAGTTTGAGAAGCGCGGGATGGGCTTCAGCCACACGAACGAGATCGCATCCGCGAACTACTACTCAGTCATCCTCAATGCCATCGAAGGGGGGCAAATACATGCCGAGCAGTCCGCGAGTGAGCCTTGTCTGTCCTAGTGTCCTCCGAGCCTGTGTCCGCTGACCCCATCCCTCTGAAGCCTCCCGCGTCGGTCACCTCCGCTTCACTTTCACGGACACCCGGACGCCATACGTCCTTGTTGAAGCGACTCGCCCACAGGTTGTGGGCCCCAACGGCCCCACGAACTTCACCTTCCCCCACGGCGCGATCACCATCGACCCCGCTGCGCGCGAGATCTCCGGGCGCAACCCCGAGCGACAGGACTTCATCATTGGCCCAAACCCTGCGACTAACTGGTCGGGGTACTTTGTCGCTAGGTTCGACCAGGAGTTCACCAGCTACGGGACAGCGCAGAATGGTACGGTCAGTGAGGGCAAGACGGCGGGTGAGGGCGCGCTCCTTTCGGGCTTCGCGAGGTTCAAGGAGGGCACGAAGAAGGTGGACGTGCGCGTGGGTGTGTCATTCATCTCAGTCGAGCAGGCGCGGGCGAACTTGGAGAAGGAGATCTCGGACGGGACGAGCCTCGAGCAGACGGCGGAGCAGACGAGGACGCAGTGGGCAGAGAAGCTCGACCGGATCAAGATAGAGGGTGCGACCCAGGAACAGGCCGAGGTATTCTATACCGGGGTGTTCCATACACTGCAAGTAGGTCCTTGTCTGTCTGATGAGGCGAAATGTGCTGTTGACACGTGTTCACGGTAGTATCCTTACGAACAAGAGGAAGATGGCAAATACTACTCCGGTTACGACGATCAAGTGCACGAAGGCATCTCGTATACCGGCTACTCCATCTGGGTAGGATACGATTCATCGAGTATGCATCATTGGCCTGACGACCGTGCAGGATACATTCCGCGCTGAGTGGGCCTGGCAGATCCTCCTGGCGCCCGAACGCATCTCAGGCATGGTGCAGAGCATGCTCCAAGACTACAAGGAGGGCGGCTGGCTTCCTATGTGGAAGAACATCGTCGGTGCGCAACTTGCCCCTTAGTACATCCTGGTTGGCTGACCTTTCTCTGCGATGCAGAAACGAATGTCATGGTGAGATAATAGCTATGCCGTATACCCTACGCCCTGCCTACCTTCATTCTCTTAGGTCGGCACTCATGCGGATTCTCTCGTCGCGGAGGCCGTCGTCAAGGGGTTCAAAGATTTCGACCTCGACACTGCGTACGAAGCCGTCCACAAGGACGCGACTGTCCCGCCTGACGACGATTGGACCACCTCGTGAGCCATATAGCCTCCGTGAACGTACCTGGATGTGCTCACACCGATATCTCGATAGCTACTTTGATCGAGAACAGAACGTCGGCTACGAAGTTCGCGCGGGCCTCTCCTCGGTGTATGCTTCCAAGGGCTGGGTCGCTGACGACATCCACTCCGAAGCTGCCTCGCGTACGCTCGACTACGCCTGTACGTCTCTACTCGCTCTCTCAGGTTTATCCTGCACTATCCAGCGTCTCATTCTCTTGCCTAGACGACGACTACGCCGTCTCTGTGCTCGCCGCCGCCCTCAATAACACTGACGACGCTGCGTTCTTCCGCGCTCGCGCGTTTTCTGCCCCTTTCTCCATCTTCAACAACGATACGGGTTTCATGGAGGCGCGTAACGTGGACGGCTCGTGGGCGGGTCAAGATCAGGGATGGACGGAGGGTGACATGTGGGCGTACACATTCGATGTTGTGCATGACGTACCGGCGTTGATCCAGAGGCGGGGCGGTAATAAGTCGTTTGTCGAGTTCTTGGACGAGCACTTTGACGGAGGTGAGGTTCTTGAGTGCACGTAGCGCGCTGAATTGCTGAAGAGATCCATTACAGGCCACAATGACCACACCAACGAGGTAAGGAGCGTCCCCTACGTGCTTCATGAGGAGATTGATGGTTTCCCGTAGCCGTCGCACCATATCCCATACCTATATTCGCTCGCAGGCGCGGCGTCGAAGTCCCAAGAGCGCATTCGGGAAGTGGCCAAGGACAACTACAACAACTCCGTCAACGGCCTCTCAGGCGTATGGAGCCTCCGCCCTTGCTGCTCCGTAATTGTGACTAATCTGCTATGACGCAGAACGAGGACTGCGGCCAGATGAGCGCATGGTACGTTTTCAGCGCGCTCGGATTCTATCCTGTGGACCCTGTCTCGGCGGAGTATGTGGTCGGAACGTCAGTACCTGCGTCCATCGGCGCGAACGTCTAGCTGACGAGCACTCATCTCAGGCCCTTCTTCGACAAGGTCACAATCGACCTCCCCGGGGCGAAGCAGCCGCTCGTCATTACTTCCTCCGGCGCACCTAAGAAACCCTACATCAAGAGCGTGACCGTCAACGGCCGCGAGCTCGCCTCTCCCATCCTCACGCATGCTGACATTGCTAACGGCGGCCACATCAACTATGAGATGAGCAGCGCGCCTCAAAAATGGTCTTCGAGTACTCTTGTACGTCCTACATCCGAGTCTTATGCGTTTGTGTTACAGCGTAGGATGTTGACTAGACCGTAAGACCCAGGATAAGAGGTACGAACACATCGAGCTCTAGAACGTATGCTATGAGTCTCCACCTGACTTCGTACCATAATCATGCGGCGGGTGCGAAGGGCTTGATACAACGCCAGTAATCGATCTACTATGATATCGATGACAACAGCATATCGCACTATCTGCTTCATAAACCTTTGGAGTTGTGTCTCAATCAGCCACCATCGTTGCCGCGTTTCTTCTCTCCAGTGCCTCATCTTCCAAGTTCAAACGTTCTCAGCAAAAGATCAATATTCTTTCTCGCCAGCTCCTTTCAATGCCTCCTTCGCATCCTCTACGAATGCCCTGAGCACATCCACATCCGACGCTTGCTCTTTCTCAGCGGCCATTGTGCCTCCATTTCGAGCGTTAGCAATTCTTTCGAACAACCTGGCGTACCCTTCTAATATCTTCGCCTCTCCATTGCCCAAGCCCACGCGTACGAAGGCTGCCATCTCTTCCATCTCCGCAACGAAGCGATAGGCCTTGGGGAACATGCCGGGTACCCAGCGAACGATGTTATCGAGATATTGGGGCTGGGAGACGCGTAGCTCCGTCAGGAGGGCGTGGGCTGTGGCGGGCGACGATGCGTGCGCGGCTGAGTTTCACAGAGTGCAGACGAGAGAGACGAAGGCAGCATAAGCGGAGTTACATTGCGGCGACGATAGCCAGGGCGCAGAGGGTGCTTACCAAGTATCATCGTCGCAGTGAGGCCAATAAAGCCCTTCGCGATGCCCTAAAATAAGGCTTGAGGCATGCCAAGAGCACCGGTTTACGAGGTGCGCACCGAATAGGACATCTTCAACGCAGCAGCATCCCCGACACCGACGCCCTCTCCCCTCAGTAATTTGACATTCAATCCTCGTTCACCGAGCCTCTCGAACGCATCCAATGCCTCTTGGTCGCCAGGTTTTGGAGAGGCGGCCGCGTAAAAGGCAGGGTCGTACCCAGGTGATGGCTCGATACCAATGATACGAGCGTCCAGGAAACGGACGGAGGTGCCTAAGAAGAGAGATGAGACGCGCTCCTTCGTCATGGGCGAAAGGGCATTGCAGTCGACGAAGACCAGCCGCGGATTCGCGTCTTCACATGCTTGGTATGCTCCGATGAACTCCTTGGCGAAGGATTCCGCACTGGCGGGAGGGACGATGCTGAGAACCCAGTCCGCGCGGCGCGCGATCCCTGTGAGGGGTGAGTCTTGCATGCCTGCGGAGTGCGCCCGCGAGATGGACGCGGGCGAACGGTTGTCGAGACTAGTCAGGACTGTGCAAGGGTGCGGGGGCGAGGTGAGGCGGCGGGCGACCGCAGAGCCCATCGAGCCCGGAGCAACGATCGCGATGGTGGGTCCGCTTGCGGATGTCATCGTAGCATGCTGGTCCAACATGCCCGAGAAACGATGCTAGTAGTCGTCCCTTCTAGGTCAGTGATAATGAAGGACTCGGGGCGATAAGGGAAGCATCGGAGGCCACAGCGTGAGACTGGGAACAACCTGGGACGAGCTGAGAGTCAAGAGGATTCTGTGCGAATTAGCGTAGCGTGAAGCAGTATGCTAGCACATCAAACAAATAATATGGCTTATACATGAGATAGCCTGCTGCAGGACGGCGAGATGCTAAAGAGCGAGGTCAACCAACAAGTCAGCAGCTGCTGAGGTTTGTAGGAACTGAAGGAGCCCGTGTATAGTAAGTAGGTGCTGCCTCAATAGCGGTTCTGACTTACTTACGCTAGCTAAGAGCGTATCGATTCGGACGATGCATTTTGCGCGAGACCTGGCTTTGATTATCGACATTTCCGGGCTTACTTCGGGTACATATGCCAATCCTGTTTAAGAGTCACAACTTCCCGTCCCTGTCGAGATGCCACCATAGGATATGGACGAACTCTTCCACTCATCCATCCCGAACCAGACCCCTGCTCTATTAGGTCAGCTAACTCAAGGTTCACATACACCACTGCTGCCTCCATGTTCGTGACGATCCTCAAATACTATCGGAGACACACAAAAGCTCCCACGTCGAATGTAGAGCTGAATCATTACGACCAGAATATGAGACTGATCAAGCCGTGGATCGTGCAGCATTAAAGAACTGCTTGACTGAAATTGGATCGTGATCACCCGAACAACACGGATTAGTGCTACAAAGCATGGGTCGCCATTATGACAAAAGAGTTACTACTGCACTCGAGGGGGCTATAGACTACATATCCTGGGTTGGACTTGCTCAGCGCATCCAAGGCGAGATGGGTCTTTTCGGCAAGTCGTGACGACTTGGTCACTAAATCTATTACCGCTGAGAGCATTATCCATATATAGGAAGGTGGTTCTGAAGTGTGCCGAACACTACGAAAACTAGTTCAGACGGGTGTTAGAGCTTTAGACAAAGTACCCAGAAGGGCAATGAAGTGGTGATGTAACGGATCGTTCATTATCTTATCTTATCTACATAGTTAATCTACATCTTGTATCTAAATCTGGATCGTCATGGTGATCGGCGCTGATCCATCTGGATCCGCGCGACGTGGCGAAGGCTTCTCAGCCTTTCACCACGTCCACCATAGTATACGCCCTCTCAATCTAGAGATTGGTTCAGTGTACTTTGGACTTGTGTGAATCAGGCGACACCCGTATCATTACACTTTTTTACACTTCATACCACGAATACGTGGGTTTCTAGATTGTATTGTGTGTTAGGCACCTACCATGACGGAACCCTCGACATCACACGCGACACACCGTGAGACCGCGAGCTCGACTCGAGCTTCGCCTCTGAGGCGGTCTCCCCGAGACCCGGACGCTTCGTCAGGAAGCTCTATCCCCGGAGGTCCTAGCTCGTCTGGCAGACGTGCGGACTCACCCCGAACCGGCGCTCTCCCAAGGTCCGCAGGGACCCGCCGGTTCTCTGAGGACATAGCAAGTAGT